ATAAACAATAAGGAAATATAAAATAGAAAATATTTAAAAGCCTTGCCCAGACATTGATTACCAGATGAAATGTTACATAAGTGGGAAATTCCTCTGGAGTACCTCGCAAGCGTTTAATCCGCTGAATAAGTGCAATACTTCATATATTGTAGAATCTCTAATCTACAGAATTTATAGACTTCAATTCCATAGGCAAATATATGAAAACGATCCGCCATAGCTCTAATCAAATTGATTGATTGAGGTGCTTTTGAAGTTTTATGATCGGTCTATAAATCATAATTCAATTGAATTGGATGATACTCTAATGCCAAGAGCTACTTGAGAGTTGCTTAAATTAATTTGAACACGCATTCGAAAGATGTTCTCTGGGAAAAGTGCAGGTCACATGATATGGAGATTGCATAAAACTCAGCTCTGTAACGCCACTGTCCGCACACACACACACACACACACACACATATATATATATATATATATATATATATATATATATATATATATATATATATATATATATATATATATATATATATTTATATATATGTATTTGCTCGCGAGCGACCTGTTGACTAACGTGCGTGAGAGATACACACAGATACACGCAAACAGATACTCGACACAACTACAGTTAACAGTTAGTTACGCTCGCTGTGGACAGGTGGCGCGGTATTTACTTTGACACAAGTCTCATGACCATTTGCACTACTGTGATGAGCTCTGCTCACGTGCATGCAGAGTAATTGTTGAATTCTTAATTGCAGCATTTACTGTTTAATGTTAACACTCGTTTTCATGCACACGCATACTGTCTAACTTTTCTTATTGTTTGGCAGAGGATCACCTTGAAGTCACACGCGAATCGAGTTATGCATAGTATAGACAAATACATTTCTCCTTGTTTGGATGTCTACCGATAATTTATTTGTCGTTTGAAACTTTTGTTTATGGCTTGCTTACCTTTGCAGCTTTGAGACTGTTTGTTTTTTATACAAAATATTTAAGATTCCACAAGCGTACGTGCGTTAAATTTAGAACTTGTTTAGCCCGTTGCGCCTGCCTTTGTATAGGTTGTTAAAAACGATCTCGACGCAGCCAGAGGAGCACACGTCTGGTCAATACCAGCGTTCAGTTGCTTGTGATTTTAAGTATTTAGCTGAGGCGAGCGCCGACAGCAGCGAGCTCACACACACATACAAACACTCTCTCTTTTTTTTCTCATTCTATCTCTGTCTGACTGTATTTCCCGCTCGTAACTTTACTTTGAGAAGTATCTCTGTGAGAGTGGCGACGGCCTCCAAGCATGACAAATACATACGCATACGTGCACACATACATACATGCATTGCCGCATATAAATATGTCTGATCAAGTTTTTTTTCTCTTATCAGAAATCGAAATACAAAAGTCCAAGCGCCCGCAAGTGATATATGTACATATGTATGTTTGTATATATATTTGTGTTGTTTGTTGTACGAAAAAAGAGACACTATCAATAATATAATTAACAACGTCTTAACATAGTAATTCCCAGGGCTCAATAAGCCAGTTGATATTGATTGTGTCAGTCTTATAAATCGTCTCTAATGTTACCCCAATACCAGAATAAATACGATTCTTAGCAACAAAATACGTTAATTTCGAATTTGCCCATATATACATATATATGCATATGTGGTTATTGCTACCAGGGCTACCATAGTGAGCAGCTGCTGTGGTGGCTGGTCGATATTTTTTTATTCATTGTTTCTTTTTGTGCAGTTGATATGTTTCTTTTTGTGCAGTTGCTTAATTATTGAGAAAATTATATTCCATTTTAATATTGAAAAGGCCGTAGCATGTCCTATGACGGCTACACCCAACTGCCTAGCGGCAGCACCGATCACGACCGACGTCAACAGCAGGTAATAGCAAACACCTACGATGTCCTGCAGCGCACCACCCAAAGCATTCAGCGCTCTAATCAAGTGGCCATCGAAACGGAAAATATGGGCACCGAGGTATGATGACAAATAATCAACAAATCGAATATAATCAACAAATATCTATATATGCAGGTACTTGGCGAACTGGGGGAGCATCGTGAATCACTGCTGCGCACTACTCGCCGTCTCGAAGACGCCGATCAGGAATTGTCGAAATCTCGCATAATTTTACGAAAACTGAGCCGCGAAGTTATCTACAATAAGATTGTTTTAATTTTGATCATTATCTTAGAAGTAGCCATACTCATTGGCCTGCTGATCTTAAAGTTCGCCCATCTATAGAGGCGAATCATTGAATTCCAAAGCTATATTCGGAATATGAATATGGATTTTATTAAGTATTTTGTTTTGTCTTATCTAACATTCATTTTAAACCCATGCCTTAGACATATGTATATGTATATAGAGTTAGGATAATGTAAATCGTATATGGAGCGATATTAATAAAAACACAGCTAACAGTTATGAATCCCTTATCTATACACATTTTACAAATTGTATATAATAGGATAACAATAGTTATATACATATATATTCATGTATATATCGCGATTATTTGGCATAAAACAAATTGCATGCTACATGGAGACGAACGTATCTAAAAAAAATAGTTCACATTAGCATAATACTTGATATACATACATACATATACGACAATTTAAGTTGAATACTCGCGCTGCTATTTGAGATAACAAAATGACACGAAAATGATGTGTTCGAGGGATATTCGCTTTCATAAGGACAATCAAGTAAAAGCATTAAAATCGTATTATATTTTATATGTATTTTTGGTCTGCAATGCAGCTCAGCGTTTGATTAATTTTCAATTATCCTTTGGTAAGACTATGGACCAGCCAAATACGCGTCGATCGAAGCCGCACGAGAACAGGTCACAATTTAAGACCGGCTCCTCAGACCAGGCCACTGATGAGACCATGCGTCTGTGTCCCTGGCGGCTGGTGCGCGGCAGGCGAGCCACTCGCTGTCCATTTAAATCGAAGAGACGGATCTGCCTATTATCGTGGGGTATTGCTATGATGCCGCCACTGGAGACAGCCAGGCGATTTACGGATGAGTCAGTCCGTATGGTGGCAAGCGCGGAGCGCATATTGCGCAGCTCCCACACTTTGATGGTGCGATCATCCGAGCCCGAGACGACTTTATCGTTGCGCGCAAAAACGCTCGAGGTGACCGTCTCGGTGTGGCCCTGGAAGACGGATACGGCGGGTATAGGATCGCGGAAGTCCCATAAACGGAAGGTGGTGTCACGTGAAGCGGTCACAACTAAACGCTGTGTAGGATGTGCAGAGACATGGGTAAGCTCATGATCATGGCCGGTCAGCGGTTGCAGCGGCTGTGCCGTCTCCACGTCCCAAAGTATTGCCGTGCGATCCCAACTGCCGGTGATAATCTGATCCATGCTCGAGAGCCAATCAGCAGCGACCACAACTGAGAGATGCCCACCGGGTCCGGTGAACTCACAAAGTGGCGTACGCAAAGAGTCAACACGTTCGCGGTCCTCCAGCTGACCATCACTATCATCAAGCTCCTCTTCAGACGAGTGTCCTTTCCTAAAAGTGGAAGAGTTAAATATAGGCCATTTGGATTTTATTCGCAATCTCTTACTTGGGCAATTCCCAGTTGACGGCTGCTTGCCAGATGTGTGCGGTACCATCGCCACTGCCGGTCAGCACCAGATCCCGACATTGATGGAACTTAATGGAGTTGACGGATCCAGCGTGTCCCTGGTACTGTAGCAGGCAGCGTCCGCTCTCTATGCCCCAAATGCAAGCGGTGTGATCAGCTGACGCTGTGCCAATGATGGGCTGACCCACCTTGGCAGCCACCTGCCAAATGCCATCCTTGTGGCCGCCAAACTCGCGCACCACCGAGCTGACAACCGTCTGAGCCTTGAAGCTGGAGACGATTCGACTGGTCTGTGCCTTGATTTTATTGCTGGCCTTCACCTTGCTGCCACCTGTGGCGCTGCTCAGCTTGGCCTTGAGACTCTTGTGTGTACTGGAGGCAGCTGCTAGCAAACTGGCACCAATTTCGTCGCCTAGCGGGGCGGAGGGCGTAGCAGGCGTGGCTGCCAGCGAGGCGCCACCACTGCCCGTGGCAACGAGCGCTCCGCCTGCTGCGGAACGTTGATCGTACGGTGTCAGTGACTCTTTGGTAATTGCGGTGGCATTTTCCAGCTTATCTTGAACTGCAAACAACAATTGGCCAATAATTCATTTGCTTTGTTAACTTTTAATCCAACTCGATTCGGGTCTATACTCACGATTGAGGTTCTCCAAGTAGAGCTGCTCGAACTCCTTCTCGATTTGGGCAAACAGGTAGTGGAGGCGGCTGCGAAATGGCGCATCCTCGGGTATTATGGATGCGTCCTCGGTGAGACTGGTTAGCCGCGTTTTTGCTGCTGCCGTCGATTTCATTTTAATGTTTTTGTTTTCCCTGTATATTTGTTTCTTCACGTTTGCCAGTTTATTTCTGACTTCCGCAGCAGAGCGTTTCCCGTCACCTGCGTTCTTGCTTAAAATCCAATTAGTGGATAGTTTTAATGATAGCCGTTCGACCTTTATTGATCCAATTCCATATTATATATATATACATAGATATACATATATTTGTGTTGCAAGAATATTTTTCTTTCGGTTTTTATCTCTTACAGTGCTGGGAAGCATGCAATTGCGAAATGCAAATCTTTTACAACACTGTGCATGCAAGCAGCAGCTGCATGAAAACATTCAAATACAAACAGCTGATTGGTTTAACCGTAATGTGGGCACGGTGTCATATTGAATGCCCATTGACAGTTTTACGTTTTCATTATTATTATTTCAATATGTTAACAATTTAATTTCTATTATCTGATTGACTATTTCTCATATAGCTAAGTAGGTATATTAGACAAAAAAGAAAAAGCATTTACATTTGTGACTTAGTTAACAGAGTAAACAAACAATTATTACAGCTGCTATGCTGTTCAGCTGACTCATTCACATAAGGGTTAACATTTGTTTTCATATTTACATTACTTGGCCACATCGCTGACGCGGAACTGACTGCCAAACAAATAAACATAGATTAAAGAATTTTATTAGTTTTAACAGCTATTCAACAGATAATTGAAAATGCGCAAAACATGGGTGAAGCGGGAAAATATATATTACAAGCCATTCTACAAGGATAAATCGAAAATATTTTTTCTCTTAATATTTTTTGTTGGAATCTCATTCATCGCCTATCAGGTTGGAAAAAGAAATCGTGTTTTTTTTTTGCGCGTTTCTATTAATATACATAAATTAATAATAGGCCTTCTCGCTGAATCAGTTGCCCAGCGTGCAGCAGCTGCGACGGAAGCACAAACAAATGATGCAGTCTCTGGGTAGTAAACAGCTGGACGTCGACGACTTCGATGGCGGAGGCGGCTTCGATCCTGGTAAGGATGCCGATCTGGCTGTGCCAGCAACACAAGGTGCCGATGCTATTAAGATTATACGGTATGTGTAAATGTGTGTGTATAAATTTTTGTGTGCTATTTGACATATGTTTAATTATGGCCACGTCTACCATTTGCAGGGGCATACGACTGTTCGACTACGACGCATACAAGCCCAATTACAAGGGCAATTTCAAGTGTCTGGATGGCAGCAAGGAGATACCGTTCGACCATCTCAATGACAACTATTGTGACTGTGTTAGTGATGGCAGCGATGAGCCCAGCACGAATGCCTGCTCCAATGGACGCTTCTATTGTAAATACCAAAAAAGGCATATCACGGGCCGGGGCCTGGACGTCTGGGTTTGGGCCTCTCGAGTGAATGACCACGTGTGTGATTGCTGCGACGGCAGCGATGAGTGGACGACAAATGCCAACTGCCAAAATCATTGTGCGTAGTGTTTTGTTTGTGTTTCGTGTGATTGGCTTAGCAGGACACCGAAAAACAACAAAACAAAGCGACTCGACAGCTATCTCATGCGCATCTCAAAGATTACTCCATCTAGTTGATAAAAAGGCATCACAACTGATATTTTTTGTAGAATATTTTACGATAAACGTGTAATTTATTTAAAAACAAAAAACAACAGAAAGGTAACCATGCATTACATTTAAGTAGATCGAATAAAAATACGTAATTCATAAAGATTTTCAAAAAAAAAAAAAAAAAAAAAAAAATGTGATTCGAAACTTACTTTTTGGCTCTTCCAATTGGGAATCCAGTCTTCTGGTCCAGCTCCTCGCCAACCCCCAATAAAGTGCGTTTATGCTTAATTTCATTTATTACTAGACACGCTAGAATCAGAAGCCTGCTTTACATAGAAGTCTATTTAATTATTTTTTTTTTTTTTATAATGAAGGTATCATTCCATTTGATATCTCCTCATTTGGGTTTTGGGACTTGCAACATAAGTATTTACTTACTTTCAAGCCGTACAATTTTTACTGACAATTTTGAACTGCAAATTCTAAAAGGTACGAAACTTTTTTTTTTGTTTTTTTATAGATTACTATGTAAGTAAAGTTTTGCAATCCCATTGTATGCTGCGTGTTGGAGACTGTTTTGCATTTATCTTTTGTATATGTATGTTGTCGGGATTTGATGACTCTCTTTTATCTTTTTATATTAAGGAACGTTTCTGCAAATATTTAATTCTTGCTTTTTTTATTTTGTTTTATTTTCATGGAGTTGGTCTACTTAGAATTTTGTAGTACAACATTGAACTACGTACACAATACATAGAGCAAAATCGTTTGTTTTCCTTTGTAAGTAATCTTACAAAATTCATTAAATAAAGTACAATAAAGGCATTACTATTATGATTAATTGATTCTGTAAGCCTATTTTTGTTAAGGTTTTGGAACTTAAATTATGCTTACTTAACGCTAAGTAATACTTAATCAGAGTTTTTCATTTTTATTTTATTTTATTTTTTTTTTTTTGCTTTGTTTTTGTTTTTATTGAATATTGTTTGGATACTTCCGGCTCTATGTTTTTGTGGATAAATTTGATTTTTTTGTTGTAGAAATTCCTGTTGATCGAAATTGTTAAGTTTGATTTAAATGCGTAGGCATTTTAAAATAGGTTGGAAGTGGAAAGATTGTGTGTATTAAGGGGAAAAGTATAAAAGTAAGAAAGATGTATTATTATTGCACTGACGAGATTTTCCTTTTCTTAAGTCTGATAGTATAAAAAGGGGGGAAAGTAAAAAAAAAATAAATAAATATTTTTGGACAATACGCATAAACTATAGAAAACAAATGTACATTTAGAATCTGTTTCAGCACAACAATTGACGCGACCTTAGCTTTACATAATTCGTATAAAGAGAGAGAAATTTCAGTGGGGACACAACTTAGGCTACCTTAAGCCATAAAGTAGTAGCATAAAATATATTTTTGTATAGATAGTTTATAATTAGGTGTACAAGTCTAACGGCAAAGCGTATAATACAATTTTTGCAGTTTGCGTTTCGTGCGACATTGATGGTGATTGTGCGAATGATTTGGCTGCTGGTGATGGTGGTGGTGGTGATGATGGTGGTGATGGTGATGATGATGCCTGTGAGAGTGCTGATGTGAATGTGCCTGTTGCTGAAAGTGTGTCCGTGCTGTGGTGTGTTGCTGCTGCTGTTGTTGCTGTTGCTGCTGTTGTTGCTGCTGTTGTGGTGTATGGCTTTGATGATGATTATTTACAATACTCGCCGTACAGGCCGTGCTTGAAGTCGAAACAGCACTGAGAGCCACCGCAGAGGAAATCAGTGCTGCGGCCAAGCGAGAGGACGCCGACGACGAGGCGGCATCCGTTGATAACAGCAGTTGTTGCTGCTGCCGTAGCTGCTGCAGCTGCAATCGCTTAGCAGCGGCGGCGCCCTTGCGCATCGCATGTAAACGCCGCCTATGGTGGTGTGGATGCAATTGAAGCTGTCACTTTGCCTCATCGCTGGCATCGAGCAGATTGTTGCTAGCACCGCTCGAGCCATTGTTTGTGGCCACAATTGGCTGCTCATGGCCGGGCTGCTGCTGCAACTGCTGCTGATTGAGCGAATGGACGTGCTGACAGAATGCCTGCAGCACCTCAAAGTGCGTCATCAGATTCGCCGGCTGGTTATCGTAGTGCAAGTGTCGCGTAATGGGCGCATTCAAGCGCCGCAACATCTCGGTGAACAGCTTCTCCTCCTTGCGTATCCAGGGCCGCCGATCGTCCTGCACCTGGTAGGGTGTGAGGTGCACATGTATGTTCATGCCTGAAAAGTAAAATGCAATTAATACTGGAACTCGACAAAGTAGCAGGCAAACAGACCCATTCGCGTAAGCGTCTCCAGCAGGCTGCGTGATGTGATCCATGTGTTCTTCTGGCCGCCATGCCCGCCGTCCAGCCAATACATGTCCGTTATGCGCGAGAGCAGCCGGCACATGCTGCTGTCATCGGGCGTCAACGTTTTCAGATAATGAAACTCATAGATGAACTGCAAGCAAACGCGCATCAATAAATGTTCAAATGTTTAAGTGAGAGTTTTTGTAAGATTGGATTGATAACGTAGTAAAAATTTGTTAGCGATTTTTACACCAAATGTGACTCACTTGATTGAGCACGACGCAGCCCTTGCTGAAGCCTATCAGCACCAGCTTGGACTTGTCCAAGTTCAGATTCTCCCGCCACCACAATGGATTATTCTCGGACGTTGGCGTCGCCGGTCGCGGCTGCTGCGGTTGCGTTGGCAGCGACGGTTGCCGATCAGCGGCGCAATCATTGCTGCTGTTTGTTGTGTTGTTGTAGTGATCCACATTGTTCATTGGCGCTGACGCGGCCTTAACAACTGTCTGTTGCGGCTGCTGTTGTTGCTGTTGCAGCAGCTGTTGTTGTTGCTGCAGCTGTTGCTGCTGTTGTTGGATGTTCGACTCTTGATGATTGTTAAGCAGAGCATCTTTATTGTTGCTATTGTTGACATTGCCACCATTGTTAGTAGCTGTGCTCGTCTCCGTGCTGCCAGCGGAGACGATGGGAAAGATCACGGCACCATCTGCATCCACAGTCACATTCTCCTGCACCTGCAGTATATCTATGTCCATTTCCTGACTGCTGTCGTTCGCCGCTGCTGCCGCCGCCGCCGCTGCGGCAGCTGCAGCTACTGAGGCTGAGCTAGACTCTGAGTTCACAGTGGCATTTGAGAGCGTCATGGCAGCTGCTGCTGCAGCAGCAGCAACGGCAGCCGCTGCGGCCGCCGCCTGGGCTGCCTGGTCGAGTATCTCGTTTTCGGGTATTGAGATCAGGCGTTGCGATAGATTCTGTAGCAGTCTGTGGGTCAGAAAAGGAGATAATTGAGATTATTAAATGCTCAGATAACAATAGACCTAAAACTCACTTTTCTAAATGTTGCAGCGCATGGTTCATGGGCGTATGATCCGGCACACCTGCATTATTTCCACGCACGAAATTATCAAAGCAACTGAAGGTCTTAAATTCCATGCTAAAAGCAAAAGGCAAAAGCAGAAATTAGTCAAGCTAAAAATCAGATATCGCATTTGATATGCTTACCGAACCGGTCGTATGACTATAATGTGGGAGCGCGGAAAGGCTTCGCGCAGCAATATCGCAGAGTTCTCCAGATTGTATTTCATGTAGCCGCGGCTGTCGCGGTTCGTTTCCATGCTCTCCGGAAAGTCCTGCACATCGCCACCAAAGTAGATAATTGCCTTGGAGTCATCCACATGCTGCGACTGCTGGCGCACAATGGGCGGACAGTAGACAATGTCGTTGGCGCGATTCTGAAAACCGGCCACGGAGAATATTCGAAATGGACCGGCCGAAGTGCTTGGCGTGCATAAACGCTCCCCGCTGCTGCCGCCAAGCATGCCCTCGAAGTTTCGAATCCGCTCTTGTAGTTGCAGAAATTGATCAATGGTGAGCTGAGAGGAAGATGAGAAGCATCAGAGAGCAATCCAGGCAATACTTTGAACAGAGCCAGCAGCAACCAGACAGACATACACACACACACACACTTTCACGCATACACACACTCTAACACACACACTCCTAGTAATAATCATTATCATAGAAATCGCGAGGATCGCCACAGCAGCCAACGAAGCGATGTCGCGTATCCTCCACACACAGTTTGGCATCCTCCTTCATCTCCTTGAGCTTTACCGACACTTCCTCCCGCATCAAGTTGCGACACATGGCCAACAGACCCATGCCCAGCAGCATGTATATGAAATTGATGGCCAGCTTGAACTGCTGATCGGTGATGCGCTGCAGATCGGACACCTCATTGGGATCGGCGGAGATGTCTTCGCGCAGTTTCTGTGTGGCTGCGTCCACATCCGCTGCTGTGGTCAGCGAGGCGCCCGGCACAAAGTCACCGAAGCCGATCTTGCACAGCGACGTCATGCAAAAGTAGAAGCTATTCAGAAAACTCCACTTCTCCCAGTTGGCGAACATAATGGTGCCCGTCAGCACATAGAAGATGATGACCCACAGACAGGCCGTCGACGGCACAATGATCTTCTTGCGCAGCGTCAGGGCGCCCAGACTGCCGCTCTCAAGCGCCTCCAAGCGTGCATCGTAGTTGCGCTCCTGGGTGCACTCGTGCATGGAGCGATAGAGAAACTTAAAGGAGCGCGCCAGCACACGTCCCATGTTGAGGAAGTAGAGTATGTAGAGGGGTATGCCAAAGGTGGCGTAGATGACAGTGAAGCCCTTGCCCCACGGCGTGCGCGGCACCATGTTCCCATAGCCAATCATTGTGATCACCGAGAGGCAAAACATCAGCGCGGCCGGAAAGCTCCAGATTTGCGCCGGACTCCGGCCCACATAGCCGTTCTTGATGATCGCCGCGATTTGCACCTGGTAGGCCTGCAGCACGGCATTCGTCTCGTTCACCCAAAGTTTTTTATCAATCAAATTGAGCTCCTCGGTGATGTTCCACAGCCGTTGCGAGCAATTGTAACGCAGGCTGAGCACCACCTTCGCCGTCTCGTCCACATACTTGCGCTCGATGTTCATAAAGGCCAATGCGCCGCAGATGGCATAGAACACAATGAGCGCGCCCACGCCCACCTGTGTGCACATGAAGGTGACAAAGTTCCTGCAGCAGCGCTTCACACGTTTGCGCGGCTGATTGCTGGCCGTCGACGAGACGGTGGACGCCTCCACGCCCAGCATCTGGGGGGAGCTACGTTGAAATTTGTTCGACATGTCCGCCAGTGGCCAACGGCAATTACATAGTTATATAACTCTATGCTGGATCAATTCTCACTTCTCCTCACACTAGATATATATATGTATATTTGGAAATATATATGTTTATTAAAATCGACAAACTATTTCGTTTTATGTGCAGTTAATTGGAAATTTGCTTTGGTTATTCGTGCCCGAATGGTCGAAAATCAGCACAAATGCTATAAATAAATCCACGCACTGCCGCCACACAGCATTTTCCGCCTAAACGAGTCTCTTGGCCAAATGCGCTGCGCGCCGAACGATGTGGATGCGATCGATGCGGCCGCCAAAATTCAACTGTTTGCTCGAAACTCACTCACAAAAAACAAACTCAACTGAACTAGAATTTCTCTGGGGCAAGCAAAACCACAAAGCAATAGCAACAACAATATTTGGAAAGAGCATCGCTAGGGATTCAATGGAATTATTTTTGGGATACAGTAAACGCGCCAAAGACGAACAAATCCCTTGGGAACACAGCCAAAAATGTTTCAAAAAAATTAATAAAAATGTACATTAAATTAGCAAAGTAGTTGTAAGCGAGGGTAGTTAAAAGAAATGGTCAGATTTGACTTGAAGATGATATTAAAGCAAAAAATTAAAAATTGTAATTATTGAAAAAAAAAAAAAAAAAAAAAAAAAATTAGTTTAAGACAGAGATATTTCAAATAAAAAATAATATATAAAAAATTCACATTTTTTAATATTGTTTTTAAAGTCTCTTAATAATAGTATACATTAAACACAAACTGCAGAAAACACATGTACATATTCCTACACTTTTAGCCCGTCATCACTGTACACGCTCACACACACACATATATTCTTATTTAACGATTTATGAACTGTGGCATCGAAAAATAGAAAATTCATATCTCAAGAAATTCTATTTACATTTTAGGTTTTTAAGATATTTACGCTATGGCGCGAGTCCGCGCTGTGGGCGTGCGTCTACGAAATGTCTTTGATTAATGAATCAAATAGTTTTCATGCTAGTGAACGTAGTACTACAGACCCAAATACATGCATACATACATACATGTATGATAGATAAATGCAGTGAAAAATTATCGCGGATTATTTATGCGTTTATCACACGCAGCTGAAAGACCAATAACAATAAGCAAAAGCACAACAAAGTGTCTGCAAAATATAAACAAAGAATAAAAAGCGCGAAAAAGAGCGCAACAGCAAAAAAGAAAATAAATAAATTTGACCTACAGTAAGACCTAAAGAAGCGAATTGATAAGAGCAAAAAAAAATAAAATAAATAAATAAAAACATTTGCATCATTTTTTTTCCTAAATTCACTTGCATAACACTTTTCTTAAGAAAAAAAAAAAAAACAGTAAACAAGAAGAAATTGAAATAATAAACACTGATTTTTAAGGGTCGTTAACATTCCGCTTAGCCGGTTTAACCTGTACACAGACAACAGATACACAAGAAGAGGCACGAAGATCAATGAATGCGCAAAAAACGGGTCAGCGGCGGTGGTTTGCGGTAGGCAAGAGTTGCATTACGTGGGCGTCGCATTAGGGGTGTTCACGCCAGCAGCCGCCGTAGGATGTGCCACGAGTAACTGGGAAGGGGGTAGGGGGTCGGCCAGAGGTGGCGCTGCAACTGCAACAATTCTGCTCAGCAATGACCCTGAAGATGTCAAATAAATGGCCAGTGGCAAGCGCAGCAGCAGCAGCGACGGCAGCAGCGGCGTCAGCAGCAACACCAGCTCTGAGGGGTGAAATGCGTAGCGAAGAGATGGATTTTTTCAATACACTCACTCATATGAAAACACATACACACACGCATACACTTCAGCCTCACATACACTCGCGCGCATACACACACACACACAACGCACACATATACAAATATTTCACGAATTTATGCAAAATTTTCAGCGCACCGCGCGAATTTTGCACTGGCTGCATAGATTGCTTCTTGTATTGAATACTTACGCCGTTTTTGTTTTAATTTGTTGCAATAATTTGTTTATTTATGAAAATATTCCCGCGTCTTTTGCTTCTACACAGTTTTCTTTAATCTGTGCGTCTGTATTTTTAATTTTCGTATTTTTACATTGATATTTTCACACACTGCAACTATGGGCACACAAATCCTGTTAAAAATCCCAAAACTGTGCACCACGGCATCTGTGTGACCGCATCGACAACATACAAAATACCAAATAGTAATATACTAAAACTACTGAACAAGAAGGCGAACTGTCAATGTATTCCGACGGTGTGGCAGCGCTTCAAAATGTGGCAATAATTTTGAAAGTTGTTTGAATATATGGCGGGAACCCGTTTGAAGCTCGATATTTTCGATTCTCTTAGTATTTATGATTTCGATTGCTTTAGCATACAAATATTCAGTACTGTCAAATTATATGTACATATCAAATTGTCTAGTTATTTCGTTACCTCTCACGGATTTATTGATTATATCAATATTTGTATTTTTCCATAGCTTATATAAATGCCGCTCTGAAGGATGAGACGCGTAAATTGGTTGAATCATAGACTTTGTGTTTGGCTTTTGCACTTAGAGACTTGCCAGTCTTCAAGTCATTTATACTTACTATGGCACATACTTACTCATATGTATTTATTTCATCAATCTGTTGAATTTATTTTAATAAAATTATCTGAAAGAGAGAAACAACCAACATTTGCAATCAACCTCCCGAAAACCTAACGACTTGAATTGTGCTTCCAACAGAGAGGACTTTCAACTAAAGCTATATGAAACAAACTGTTTATTAATAATAATCATAAATTTTATTTGGTTTTGTTTATTTTCTTTTTTTTTCGACATTCAAATGCTGCTAGGTGTGTATATTTTGATTTGTAATTTATTTATTTAATTGGAATAAACTTTGCAATATATATATAAATATAATTTTATACATATATAATGCAGATAATTGATTAGACGACGAAAAAGTTTTTAGTTTATAATAATAAAGATATATATATAGTATATATATATATATTTGTATATGCACGTATTTGAGCACGAGTTTTGTATTTTTCTTCATTTTTTTGTTGTTGTTAATTGTTATTTATATAAAATTGTCGAGTGCAGAGTGAAAAAATAATTACAGTAAATCTGGTTAAGTGTGGTGCGAGATACTTCATTATTTTGATTTGTTATTATTTTGCTACTTTTATTTATCAGATAGCAGAGCCCTATGTATATATATATTTTTTTCTTCTGTTTTTGATTTGTATATATATAAAAATACGCTCGAAAGAGTTGCGCTTGCCCTTTTTTGTTTCTTCGCTTGAGGTCATCCCAATTTAGCATTTAGTATTATTTAGTATATCTGTTTAGTATATAGTATAATTATTATTTTTTTTTTTTTATATAATTTCATATTTATTACATTTTTGGTACATATATCTGTGTGTTGTTGTAAATGTTGTTGCTGCAATATTTTTGTTGAAGAGTTTTTAAAACTAAATAAAATAATAATTATATATATATATATGTATATTCATATGCATATATACATACGTAACTTAAGCGTAAAAATAATTGGTAAATTATCAACTAAGAAATATTAAAATTTTTGTTTTATTTTATACATTTTGTGCTTTGGACCGAAATATAATAAATTTTGCTTTAAAAACATAATTATTACAAAAGCATTTACATAACTAAAAAAAAGGCAAGCAACAGAAATTTATGAAATTTAACATTTTCATGTTGCCTCTCCCTAATTATTATTATTTTTAATTCATTCACTTGTATTCATAATTTTGTTTATGTAAAGTTTTTTGTGCCGAAAATATCACATTGATTTTTTAATTTTTAAATTTTAATTATTTTTTCTCTTATCGTTTTCATTTATTCTTCAATAAGTGCCAAACCATAAATTTTGTTTATCACAAAATGTCTAAAATTAATCAAAATTGCTATTTATATTTAATATTAAGATTTTTTTTTTTAATTTTTTTTTTGTTAATTGTTTATTTATGTTTAAGAAAAAATCCAATGAGTTCTAATCGAAGCATTTACTTAGATATTTATTAAATTTAGTTTACTTAACAGTTGCTGATATGAATTATTTCAAAATTTTATATATTTTTTTGTTTTTATTTTTATTTTATTTATTTATATGTTTATATACTTAAGCTTAACGTAAGTGTTTAACAAAATTGTGAGGTGGTTCAAGTGGTTCGCATTTAGTCTAACAAAACATAAAATTAAAAAAAAACTTTAACCATACAAAAAGTTGAATTAATTTAACGCAGCTAACAAAACAAACAAAATAGTTGTTGTTGTTGTTGTTGTAATTAAAATAGTTTGCTAATATATAGTAATTAAAATATTAATATTAAGCAATCAATCAACAATAAAACTGAAATGCATTTGAGGTATATCAAAATTTCTTCGTAGTTCTTTGAGTAAGCAATGTACTCTGCAAAAATCATATATATGTATATATATTTATATCTATATATAGTAAAATTAATAAAAATATTTGCATATATATGCGTGTGTGTGTGGGTTTGTGTTTGTGTGTGTATGTGTTTGTATGCCAACTAAAAGTCTAATGTGATAATATATGAGTAGTATACGAGTAGGTGACTGTGACTGGACCTTGGACTGTCCTCTTCTTCTTATTATTATTTTTTTTTTTACTTTTACATTTAATTTTATAGTTGTATTTAATTTGTTTATATTAGGAAACGACACGCAGAAACCTTTAAAGTTGTTTTTTGTTTTCTTTAGTAAAGTTTACATCGAATGCTAAATACACGCTAGATTTTCGACTTAAATTTAGTTAGTTTAGTGCCCGGTTTTATAGAAGGTGGGGCTACTTTAGTTTAAGCAACCAAAACCGTTATATAGAATCTTTATAGCAAATGAAAAACATTCGTTTCTATAGATAGTCCATTGATTTCTCATTAGCACATATGATGGTATGTGTTCTTCTTCTTCTTCATGCATACTTTAGTATATATATATATAGTTTATAGTTATTTCATTATTTTTTCATAATTTTCATTCTTTTTTGTTTTTTTGTTTTTAGCATCTTCGGTTCTATATATTTTGGGTTATTGCTGATTGAGGCTTTCAAAATTTGGCTCCGCATATTTGGGGGCAGAGTGAAATGTACAAAGCGACTAAATGCAAGTTATATATCAGTTATAAAAAAAAACTGTTATACAAGTTATAACAGTTATAAAAGCTGTTATACAACTCTTATAAGTTATATAACTGTCATATGTGTTATATAACTCATTTTTGTTGTTATATAACTGTTATACAACTGTTATAATTACATATGTATATCTATTTGTTAGGTTGAACTCCCGAGTCGAATGAAAGACACTTAAACGTTAGTAGGAAAAGACGCGACAAATCAATTTGGATGTCCTTTACATGTTGTAGTTGTAGTAGTAGTAGTTGTTATTGTAGTTGCTAAATGTTGTCCGCTGTGTATAGCCGTAACCGTAGCCGTAGCCGTAGCCATTCAGCCGCCCGCCCCGCCTTTACATCGAGTTGAGCTTCAGCAGTCGATCCGGATGTTTGACCCGCAGATGCGATCGCAACGTATCGATGCGACTGTACGTAGCCGGGCAATAGGGACACATTGAACGCTGGGCGGTGTGGGAGTGGAAATGATGCCAACGATTGGTCACCTCCTTGCCGCAGGAGCGACAGCGCCACATGGTCCCCGGATCCCGAGACGGCGTAAACATATTGTGATACGACATGGTGTGATGCGAATTGTGACCGGTGCTAGTGGGTGTTGTAGAGCCGCCGCCCAGGGCGGCCGCCTGCCCGGCATTGTAGCCGTGGGCGGGGGGTGTGCCGCCGGCGGTATTATGGCCATTGCCAGCAGCGCGTATATAGTGCAAAGGATGATGGTATTCGCTCTTCAACGCGGCCGACAGCTGCATGCCGAACGGCGGCGGCGGGGGCGAGGCCGACGAGGAGGTCGAGAGCGGTGTCGAGAGGTGGTGACGAGCGGCGAGGCCTGTTGTCGAGAACGAGAAAGAGAAGAACAGACACACAACAGCCCGTCGAGCGGGACGAAAATCAGCCCAGAGAAATAGATCGTATTTGTTTTTGTTTTTGATTTTTTTTTTTTTTTTGATTTTTGAATTTGGTATAGATTTGTTTTTTTTTTTTTTTTAATATGATAAGGATAGTGGGAGCGTGACAGAGAGAGATAGAGAGGGAGAGAGATTGAGATAGAGCGAGTTAGAAAGAGAGAGTATGATAGACATATGGTAAAAGAGAGAGAGAGAGAGAGAGAGAGAGAGAGAGAGTTTTTTTTGTGAGCAAAAATAATATTGGTTGTCATAGGCAAATACAAACTAAAAATTTGGCGTAACTAATTAATTTTTATATATACGAAAAAAAAAAAAACACAAAAACAGACTATATTTACTATATACATATATATGTATATATATATGTATGCATATATAGCTGTTGGCTAACTACGTTCAAGCAACTTAATTAACATAACGCGCATCAAATACAAAAAATAGTTCGAGTATGAAAAACAAAAGGAAAAAAAAAATATATATATAAAAAACGAAGAGAAGAAAAATAATATAAAAAAAACTAAAAATACAAATTTAAAGAAAAACTATGTTCTTTTAGCTTGTAAAATTAAGTATTTCGATGCCCTTCACATTCAAGCGTGCAAGTTGTATTGATTTTTGTTTTTTAAATTTAAAAATTTCAGCTCATTTTTTTTATATTAAAGCTAAAACTAAATCTATAAATGTATATATATGTATATATAGCTAGGATCTGTTACATATATGTTTGAAAGAATTGAAAAAATGCCTCCGTTGAGATTTTATTTTGCTGAAATACTTTAATAGATGGTTAAATATATATATAAATATATATATTTTCTTTTTAAATAAAATTAGTCACAAATCAGATATATACATATATATAGTGTATATATATTTATATAAATTGTAGTTATTATAAGGTTTTGAGCACAAATGGATAACACAATCGATTTGAATGACAAGTATATAGTATATATATATAATTATATATGTATATATATATCGCTGCATAAGTATGTTTGTATGTATGTGTGTGTGTGTGTGTGTATAATTAACATAAAAGTTCATTATATATAATAATT